GAGCACTTATTCCACTGGGCTATCTTCCCAGCCCCAAGTTAATGATTTTTTTCCTTGCAATAAATTTTTCCTAGAAGTATGTTTTATCTGTAGGGAGACATTTTAAAACTTTGCAAATACATTATTCATGAAAAATTTCCTCCTAAATTTACCACTGTGTGTATTGAACACCAGTCCCCAATTTGGAAATCTGAAATACCTAAAATCTTAACGTTTATGAATGCAGACATGATGTCTCAATTGGAAAAGTTGCACTTGACCTCCTGTGACAGATCACAGTGAATAACAACATGTTAAAATGTATAAAATTACCTTTATGCCTTGTGTACAGGATATGTGAAACATAAAAGAAGTTTTTGCTTAAGCTGGAGTCTAATGTCCAAGAGACCTCATTCTGTATAAGAAACTATTGCACCCTCCCCCTACTGAAATCCAAAATACTCCTGGCCCCAGGATTTTGGATGCAGATACTTAGTCATTCCTGGTCTTTTATGCTGTAATAGTTGTCTAATGGTGCTTTTTTGCTTCTTCTGAATGTATCAGACAGCATTTGCACTTCTACTGTAAACAAGCTCTCTTTCTCATTTATTTCCTTTGAGTTTTGCGAATTTCTAGTACTTTGTTTTCAGATTTTTATAATTTGTTCCTGCCCTTTCTAGTGCTTGTGTTTTTCCAGATTTGCTTAGTGAGTCCTTCAAGTCAGTGCCTTTGTTTTTCCTACCATGTCTGCATCATCTTCAGCGCTTATTGACATATATCCTCATTTTGCTAAGGGACCTGGGTCTGAAGAATTTTAGTAGAAAGGAGAAGTAGCCCACACTAGAAACCACAACAAGCTGGACAGAGGATGTAGAGTAGATAGTGATCACGCTTCTTTTATGATTTGGGAGGTGGGAGTGTGCTGGGGACTGATCCCAGGACTTTGAACCATCCAGACAAGTGCTTTACCACTAAGCTATATTTCAAACCTAGGTTTCCTCCTTCATAGTGTGTCAACTGATGCATTGTCAGTTCTGTTTTATAAAATATATTTTGATTGCCTGTATACATACTGTTGCCTATAGATTTTTGAATAGTTTCAGAGATGTGCTGGAACTTATATTTAGGATAGCAGACATGAGAAGAGAGAAACCTGAGGTGAAAAAAGCAAGGAAGAAAACTGTCCTGTAAGCCCTCATGTGACCACTCCATAATCTATGCATCTCCCTTTTAACACTAGAATGCATGTCTTGGCAATTTCCAGTGACTCCTTAAACTCTTTTCTCTGTTCTAGAACAATATACGACACCTCCGTGAACACATACCAATTAAAAGGGAACTGTAGAAAAATTTTTAATTTTAAAAAGTGCAAAATCAAAATAACAAATAGAAAATTTGGCCCCAAATAAATGACAAGGAAGAAAACAGGAATGGTGGGATCCAGGAATGAGCTTGGTAATGGGTTTCCAGGGTCCTTAATCTTAATGCTGAGCCTTCCTGACCGGCTTTTGTGGCTTTGTATAAAGTCACAAACATTTGGCGGTTTCAGCATGGTTTGCAGCTAATCCAGCAGCATTGCTGGGCACATGTGAATGACTCCAGAGCAGCCACTCATATTGGATTGTTCTTTCAGCATGAAGAATCATGAAAAGTCAAAGAAACACCGGGAGATGGTTGCCTTGTTGAAACAACAGTTGGAGGAAGAGGAAGAGAATTTTTCAGGATCTCAAGTAGATGAAAATCTATTGAATGCCAGTTCTGAGGAAGACATGGAAGATGTACCAAAGCAAAAGTACTTGAAAATATGAAATGTTAATGCCATTTATCTCAGAGAAGTTGCTTTGTTGCAACAGTGGTTTTTACATCTCTCGTAGTTAATGAAATTTTATAATGCTGAAATAGATAATGATGTCAAAAATAATTTTTACACAATATATATAACTTAAAAAACAGCATCATATGTAGGCTAATTACTGTTTCTATTCATTTAACCATTGTTATTCTCTAAAATGACGGTGTGTACATTTTCTTATCCTTTTAATGCTTTGTGCTATATCCTAAATATTGTTTAACACTAGCATGTGACTTTTCTTTTCACTTAGTAAGTCTTCACAAAGTCAAATATTTGACGTATTGATTTATATTTGTTCTTAGACTTTCTAAAAAACAGAAGAAAAAGAGACAGAAGCCAGCACAGGTACGTTCGAATTTTTTTTTTTTTAATTCTTTTTCTTTCGAAATGTTTTATGAAAATTAAATAATAACTATAAATTTATAGTGTTTCTATTCATAGTAGTCTGTAAAAAGGAGAAAACTTTCTTTTTTTTTTTTTTTGGTGGAACTGGGGATTGAACTCATCTCCCCAGCCCCTAAGGAGAGAACTTTCATTCCATAATTTTATGTGGGTTATAAATAGATTAGAAAATGAAAAAGTGAGACCCAGAGCGCAGGCCCGGCGAGTGAGTGAGATGACCCGGGGCTACAGGATCCTGAATAGACCCAGAGCGCAGGCCCGTTGAGTGAGTGAGAGGACCCGGGGCGCAGGGTCTGGTGAGTGAGTGAGACCACCAGGGCCGCAGGATCCTGAACAGATCCAAAACCCGGCCTGGTGAGTGAGTGAGACTACCCGGGGCCCGCGGAGCCTCATTCGACCCAAGCTGCAGGCCCAGCAGGGAACCCTTCAGCAGAACTCCCTGCAGAGGCTAGAGGCAAGACCCACCAGCTGATTCAGGAGCAGAACATCTTGCTAGAGTGACACAAAGGGTTCAACTCCAACACCTGCAGCAGAAAAAAGTGGAGCACAGCAGCCAGATCCAA